ACTCCAACAAATCCACTTAGATTAAACAATAATACATTTTTACATCCCTTGACAACATAAACTATATTACATTACAAAAAGAAAATACAAGAATCTAGATATTGTTACAGCTAAACACCTTAAGGTGCAAGTGTAACATTCTCATGGTAAAAGTAAGGAGGTCTTTCCCATTCTCATAGCTAGTTGAAGTATTGCATGTGACTATGAAGATTCATCACTTACACCAATGGTGCATGTACTTCTCATAGAATTTCCTTTCTTAATCAATTCCCTAATAGTCTCCACCTTAGGCTAAGAATCTAGAGAGGAAACTTCACACCTTATAGGGAAGAAATGATAATTCATGTGCAAGCTCTTTTGGGAAACAAGTAATCTTCACGATAGGAGCACAAGTTTAGATATGAGCAGTACTTCATCTCTTAGACTTAGTCAATCACAATCTCAGTTCTCCTCCTCCACTTATGCCTCAAGCACTAAGAACATTTCACACCTCTTACAATGTTGGATGAGATCATCCCCAGAGCCAAACTCTAATCTTGTCAATGTAACTAAAAAATAAGCAATAAGCAAAGATATCTTCTCCAACATAGCAGAAATGTGAAGCTTCATTCATATCTTCTTTAATGTCTATAGATATTAAAGCTTCCTCAATGTGCATAGACATCTCAACGATAAGCAAAACCCTAACTTAAAATAAACCTTACAAAAGCATTAACTTAAAATAAACCTTACAAAAGCATTCATTTAAGTCCATGTCACTAAATTGTGACTCATATATTCTACAAGATTAGTTAGACATAAATCCAACAAAGTCTCCCTTTCTCTTTAAGGGTATGTTTGAGAGTATATGATGGCATGAAAAAAGATTGTCATTAATATAATGAAATGTGATGGAATGGGATGAGTTTTTGAAATGAAATAGAACATTCCATTGTTTGATATAACTATATTTTTTTTAGTTTTAAGGTAAGGGGGAGTGAAAGAGTGAAAGAGGGTGAAAAAGATAGGGGTAATTTTGAAAAAAAATATTATTTATAGCATGTCATTCCATTCTCGACCCCTCAAATTGGTAGTAAAAAAAATGGATTTAGGATGGCAAGAGATGACTTAGAAGGCCACCCAAACCATTCCATTTTCTTTTAAAAATTTCTTTCAAATAATGGCATGAGGCTTTTAGCATCCCATGCCATTCCATTCCATCTTAAAAAAACTCTCAAACATTATCTAAGACACATACCCCTATTTACACAAGAACTTGCAACAGACCATTGCAATAAGAAAGCATAGGGAATGGAAAACGAAAAATGACATTTGTCAACCAAATTATTCAATAATAGCATTTTATTCCTTGAATAATGTCTAGGCCACCATTTTTAATCATTTCTAGTTGCTCTTCTGTTTCTACTCTTGTTTGAACTAATGTAAAAGTTACGAGACATACAAATATATATCTTACAATACTATTATAGAATTCAAAGGATTTTCATCATCATTATAACTTAATTATCAACACTAGTTTTCAAACAGGCAATAGGAGAAGATAAAACCCAAAGAGTTCACAAACTTTAATCTACCTCTAATTGTGTAACAAAAGAGGCGAGAGAAAACAAACTCAGGCAACTAGTTGAAGCAAAAGATTGATCCTCGAAGACGGAGTGTAAATTGATAAAGTAAACTAGGCGACTTGAATGAACTTGATAGAAGAATCAACATGAGTCTCGAGGTTGAAGACAGAATTAAGAAGGCTACCCTTGATGGCACAAAGTCAAGACTTATAGACGAACATCATACCACGCCATCGTGTTAGAAATTGTGCCCTAAGGCTAACATAGTACTATAAATATTATTATTTAATGAATTTCTCTTTGTTATCATATCAGTTGCATATTCACTATGATAACTGTATCATTGAACAAATTATAGTGATTGTCCTAAATGTCCTTGGTTGGTCATCTATAGGGATCATTGATGAAACAAGACTAGTATGACTTTGATTAATTATAGAGATATAAATTAAAGTTATAAACACTTGAAAGAGTATAAGGTGCTAGACCAACTCAATATGAGAAAGTTGCATGATACAAGTTATAAACTTATCTCATATGTAATCATATCACTAAGCCATTTGACTTGAAATCATCATGAATCCCTATATGATGACCATTGAACTTTGACTTAATTAAAAGTCACTTTTAATTGGGTGATTATAAAGAATATGATTGAGTTTAGAGATATTCATGCGGAGGAATATGAATGGTCAAGATGAAATTTGTCCCTCACATTAATTGAAAGGTATTGCTAAGCCTCTCGATGAGTAAGACTGAGAAAATATATGACCATGCTATAATGGAAATGATTTTTTCATTTCTATAGTCATTCTACTTAGAGATTGAGAAAGTAATAATTAAATAAAGGAGAATGACAATTTCATGTCTCACACCTGATCAAAATATCACGTAACAAAAGGAATGTGATAATGTTATATGATAGATTACATCGAATCATTAATTTCTATATGAATTGGGTAATCATAATGTCTTGCTAAAGGTCACTTGTGACTTATGGGTTAATAGCATTACTGGCACATTGCCAACTTCATATGAGCCTACAGGATCGCACATAAGAATAGCCCAACTTGAGTTAAAATATTCAAGTTCATTGAATATAGAATATATTTAGATTCAATGAATATAATTCTTTATTTAGGGCGAATGAATTATATATATATATATATATGCATTTGAATATTTATTTGATAAATATTTGTATAACATATGTGTATATAAAATATAAAATTCAAAATATAATATAATATGTATGTATGTATGTATGTATATGTATTTTCAAAATAAGTATATATATATATATATATTCTTATATATATATATATATATGTATTGTATTATATCATTATGTTAGTTTTAAATTTAGATTTATATGATAAATTAAGTTTAATAACTAGCATGATATAAGAAGATATCATATCTGTTATATAATTTAAATTTATGAGATAAATTAAAATGAGATATAATATCATAAACTAAATTTATTTTATAAATTTAATTAAATTTCATTTGCTCATTAGAGGAAGACTAAGATCCTAATCTATATATATGATAGATAAGGGAATGTGCTTCAAGAGATAGTTAGAAAAAGTCCTGACGATAAAAACACATTGAGAGCTACAGAAACAGCCTTGAGAAAAGAGTAGTTTAACGTTTAAAAAAATGGACGAATGTTTTGCGTGTTAGTAAGCTGTTCGAGTTGAAAGCTATTCGTGTGAATACTCGTAAAAGGAGCAAATATGTGTTGTTAGTTCTTGTGGTCTGAAACACTTGAAGAAAACACATGAGGAATTTGAAGCAAGAAAAATAACTTTTCTATTAACCTTGACTTAAATGAGTTCGTTCGGTTCACATTAAAATAGTAATTTTAAAAATTTAATCTTTCATTATATCTCTTTATCCAACACATCGTTCAACGATGAAGATGTAGAAGTTGTGGCTGACGATCACAATGGGCACTAGAGAGAGAAGAGGAGAGTATTTGGTTAGAGCATTTTGGTTATATGAAATCTCCAATTTATGCCACTGAAAGGATCTCATTTTAAAAACTGTCTCAATTCCTTATGAGCAATTAAACTTTTGCTAAAGTCTTTTCCAACAATTTTCCAAATTTTATTTGTCATGATGTTGGGAGATGAATAAAGGTCTTCTTGGCGGCAAAAAAAAAAAAAAAACGGAATGAAGAAGGGACAGGTAAGCACTGGGGAGTTTATGATCGTCTTCAACTTCAAGACACCAAGACGCATCAAATTCACAAATGGCAAGCAACGCAGAATTTTTAAGTGGGGGACACATAAACCAACGAGTGGTAGTCATACGAGATACTCTGTTGGATTCATATCACAAAGCACTTTTAATTATCTCATTTATCATTTTAAATAAAGAAGATGGTGAAATTATTAACTTTATTTTTTATCTCTCTTTAAATAAAAAATCAATTTTGTACTATGTTTTTTTTCATAATTAATGAATTTAAATAAGAATAATATTAAAAAAAATATAATTAATACTTCACTAAATACTTTATATTAAAGACCATCAATTTTTTTAAAAAATGCCTTACAATTGAATTCAGGGGGAGAGTATATATTTTTTTGTTCATGATAATATAATATTTTTTAAAAACTTTACTTGATTTAAAATATTACACGGCATTAGGTAGTTCTTATAATTTTTTATAACAATACTCCTATTTTATTTGTTATTTTTTTAAAAAATGATTAATTAAAATTTTTCTTCTTTTTTTGGATTAGAGGGACTGGCACAAACAGTCTAAAGCTGTGGAGAACTCAATTATCATTACTGCAAGACATCTATATAATGCATTTACTAAGGTTATAATTGAAAAGATACAATTTTTTTAAAAAAAATTAAAATTTTAAGTAACTTTTTTGAAATTGTGAATTAGTTATCAAAATACCTTGCATTACACACCCACACCCGCAAGAAGTATAGTAATTATTTATTAAAAGCACATAATTCTTCTTGTTTTCATTATAAGGCATTTTTAATTATTTTATTGAAATGAAAAAGACAATTAATTTATTAAATATGTCTTTAAAAGAAAAAAATAATACTTTTACCTATATTAAAAATATGAATAAAGATGTACAATGAGCCATAAATTGAATTTTACAAGACGGTTAAAATTTAAAAAGAAATAATCCTCCTCAACTAAAATCTTAGTAAAAGGTGTCCAAAAATAGAAAGAAAGAGAAGGGGGAAAAAAAAAAAAGAGAACTGTGATGTAGTGAAGAAATGAAAATGAGAAGGGGAAAGGAGAGGAGTGCCCAGAGTGCGGCAAGGCAGGTTTTGCCGTTTCAAGGGCTGATCCCATGCACCCATTAGCGCGAATCTCTTGAGAAGTCGTTTCTGTCTGCTTGCTTCTCATCCCCTTCTCTTCTTTCCCTTTTTATAGCCCCTCTCCCCACTCCTCCCATCCTCACTCCTCACTCCTCACTCCTCTCCTCTTCTCCTTCATCATCATGCCTCCCCTCTTCTCTCCCTCCCTCTCCCTCCCTCCTTCCTCCCAACCCTTCTTCCTCCTCGGTAAGTTCTTACTTCTCTCTTTCATTTCTTACTTTCATCTTCTCTCTTCCTCTACACATGTCGGCACATCCCCCTCTCCTTATATTCATCCCTACAACTACCTCAACCAACCCACTCACACTCGACCAACCTTGTTTTTATCTTACTTGCACTCCATCCTTTGAGCTCCAATGTGCACCATTCTAAATCATCTCACATATATCATATCGTATATTCTTTCTTTTGCTTCATTATCCAAACAGTGACCACTTTTGTTCTAGAGAATTTTTATTTTTTAAATCCCTGGCCCAGTTGACAGCTGAAAGCCTGAAAGCAATATGGCACTCTCTCATCTTCCAGCCAAGAGAAGTATTCGAGACTGGTATTGATTAATATATGATTTTTATATATAGGTGTGGGTTCTTCCGGGGCCAAAGACAAACAAGTGCCCCTTGGTTTTCGCCTAAGATGCAGAGCCATATCCAGACCTGCACGGACGGAAGGCATGCCACCTTCAATTTTGTTCTTCTCTTCTTTCCTATATATTGATATTTCTGAGACAAATAAACTGTATTCGATATATACAAACTTTGAGTGCTTTGTGCTGTGCAGAATGCGCTGCCATATTTCAGGGTGGTCTTCCGACGTTCAAGTGGCACGAGGCTGTGCAGGATGACATCCACGAGGAGGAAGCTCGCGAGGTTCCTTTTTTTAATTAATCACCGCAAATCTACTTTAATTAAATTAATTACGCCTGCCTTTCTCTGTTTTGGTCTTTTTCTCTTTTTGTTTTGATACGCCATCGTACACAAATATATATGTACCCTTTTGCTGTGAATAGATTCCGGTGAGCACTGAGATCAAAAAGCGGGTTGAGGCTATCAGATGGATATTGGATTCCATGGATGATGGGGACATCAACATATCTGCTTACGACACGGCATGGGTTGCTCTTGTTCCAGGCGTTAATGGAAGTGGTGTCCCACAGTTCCCCTCCAGTCTCGAATGGATAGTGAACAACCAGCTTCCTGATGGTTCTTGGGGTGATCAACAAGTTTTCTCTGCTCACGATAGAATCATCAACACGTTAGCTTGTGTTATTGCATTAAAATCATGGAATATCCATCCTGGAAAGTGCGAGAAAGGTACGCTAGCTACTTTTATGCTTTATCATGTACCTGTCTCTTTTCATATGCACTTTTATGATTAGCTATAATTTGTTAATTACTTCGATACCTATGTATCCGCATAGGGCTGGCATTTTTCAGAGAAAACATCAGCAAGCTCGAGGATGAGAATGCTGAGCATATGCCAATCGGTTTTGAAGTTGCTTTCCCTTCCCTTCTGGATATAGCTCGCGATCTCAACATTGAAGTTCCGGATGATTCCCCAGTGCTGAAGCAAATCTTGGCGATGAGGAATGTAAAGCTCACAAGGTATATAAGATGAGACTCTTCAGTCACTTCATTATGCACAACCCTAGCAAATAAAGCTTTCTTTGGCAGTAATTATTACAGGAGCGATTGCCCATGTCTATATTTATTAGAATCAAAGCAACCTAATCTTCCAAAACTATTTTTCCTCTGGGAAAGTAAAGCGTGTCATCTTTTTAAGCTGTTTAATTAATTAATCGAGGACACAGCGTATGTACGTGATTATTGAACTGTTGAATTGTGTGCGTGGTGGGGTTGGTGGGATAGAATACCAAGGAAGATGATGCATAAAGTGCCCACAACATTGCTTCATAGCTTGGAGGGTATGTCAGAATTGGACTGGAAGCAGCTTCTAAAATTGCAGTGTGAAGATGGGTCTTTCTTGTTTTCTCCCTCCTCCACTGCCTTCGCTCTTATGCAGACTCATGATCAAAACTGCCTCAATTACTTGAATAAAGTAATCACCAGGTTCAATGGTGGAGGTAAAGTACTCTTAGCTTTTCAATTTTGATCACACTTCCTCTCAGATTTCTTAGACTTTTTTTCATAGTTTTTTTAATCAAAACATTTCATTCAATGATGTTCTTTTTTTTTTCCTCAGTTCCAAATGTGTACCCGGTGGATTTGTTCGAACATATTTGGGTCGTTGATCGGCTGGAGCGCCTTGGAATATCCAGATATTTTAAGCAAGAGGTGGAGGACTGTGTCAGCTATGTTCATAGGTATATGATGATTATGATTATGAACTATTAGTTTTGTAAATCATTATGATCAAAATAAGAGAGATCTTAGATATATCAGTCCCTCATTAATAACTGCCAAAAACAATGGATACATATATCTTCAATTTCAGATACTGGACCGACAAGGGAATTTGTTGGGCGAGAAATTCAAATGTTCAAGATATTGATGACACAGCAATGGGATTCAGGATACTGAGATTACATGGCCGCGAAGTTTCAGCTAGTAAGTTCAATATTTTAGTAAAACACCATATCCCTTAATTTTTCTTTTTCATGTATGTTATTAAAAAAATATGGTTAATGATTTTGATTATTTCGTATTTGACAGATGTGTTTAAGCACTTTGAGAGAAATGGTGAGTTCTTCTGCATTGCTGGGCAGTCAACACAAGCGGTGACAGGAATGTTCAATCTGTATAGGGCTAGTCAAGTAGGGTTTCCTGGAGAGATGATTCTGGAAGATGCGAAGAAGTTCTCAGCCAAATTCCTGAGAGAGAAAAGAGCAGCAAATGAGCTCATAGATAAATGGATCATCATGAAGAACTTACCTGGAGAGGTTGGATTAATATCTAATTAAGGATTATTAGACCACTTAATTAGGAAGGTATGTACTTTGCACTAATTAATTAATATGTATTTATCGATTCCAGGTGGCTTATGCATTGGACGTGCCATGGTATGCAAGTTTGCCTCGAGTAGAGACAAGGTTTTATATGGATCAGTACGGGGGTGACACTGACGTCTGGATTGGCAAAACTCTTTATAGGTATACACCTTTAAAAAGAATACAAAAAAAAAAAAAAAGGCTTTAGTTTTACAAATTTTTATGGTATAAACCAAATTATTCACTATTTTTTCACAGGATGGGAAAGGTGAGTAATAACACTTATCTTGAGCTAGCAAAATTAGATTACAACAATTGCCAACGGCTGCATCAGACAGAATGGAGCAATATTCAACAGTAAGAGGAGCTGCTAAAACCATTTTTCCAATATATGATCATGCTTTATTATTCCATCGTTTTCCACATGCTCTATACAGCCAATACTGACATGAAGCTAAAACTCGTAAATATCAGGTGGTACTCAGAATGCAGATTGGGAGAGTTTGGATTGAACAGAAGATCACTTCTAATGGCTTATTTTGTGGCAGCAGGCAGCATATTTGAGCCCGAAAGGTCTCAAGAGCGAATTGCATGGGCCAAAACAGTAGCCTTGCTCGACACAATTACAACTTATGTTGATGATGAAGAAATGAGGAACGCTTTTGTTGAGAAATTCAACCACTACATCAATGGAGGAGGAGACTTCTCCGTTGGCTGGTAAATTACTTACCAGCTCTCTCCTATGTTCATGTTGTCTGCTTGGTCTCTTACTCTTAATGCGTTTTGGCCTTTTTGTGCAGGAGGTTGAATGGGTACAGAACAGGGCAGGGACTGGTGGAGGCTTTGGTTGGAACCATAGATCAACTCTCTTGGGAAACTCTCCTATCTCATGGCCATAAAATTGGCCGTGACATGCATCACAGTGTGAGCTTTCCTTCAACTCATCAGAAAGAGTTTCTTTTGACAATGGAATTATTTCATTTCCGTAAGTTTAAGGTTCGGAACACAACGTCGGAAAGGACAAGTTCGAAAAATAGAAATGAGAACAAAAAATGGGTGGTCCAATGATGCCACCAAAGTACTGGTTCCAATGCTGTCAATTTGATTGTTTCCATTATTTTTATTGCTGATGATGTAGTGGCAAAAGTGGCTTTCAAGTTGGCCTAGTGGAGGAGACAAGAGGGGAGGACAGGCAGAGCTTTTGGTGCAAATAATTAACCTAAGCGCAGGCCACAGGATATCAGGGGAACTACTATTCAATCATCAATACCAGCATCTACTTCAACTCACAAATACTGTATGTTACAGGCTCCGATATCATCAAAAGGACCAGGTTAGTGACATAGCAAGCATTATGCCTCAGGACAAACGCTACCTTCCATGTTCTCATGTTTTGGCTGTGTCTTGAACTCATTCTTTTTACCTTCCGCACTTTCTACAGATATAAAAACACAAGCTAGTGTCTCCATTTCTAGCGCTTACTAAAGCTACTATTGCTCTTTGAATTATTAGTAAAGTGAACTTAGCTGCTTTAAAGCAACGAGATCGCAGCAATGGCCATTTGTGCACTATCTTCAGCTTTCACCAACCTATAATTGAACCTTCCCTGTGAACACACAATATAAAAGCACTTGTGTCAATCAAGGGATGAGGTGTTTAGCATTTAAGTGCAGCATCATCCTTCAAATAATCTTTTGTCTTTTAGTATAGCTGTCCATCTTTCCGTCTTCAAGAGTTTGGTGAACTAAATAATATCGCCTCTTGCCAAGAAAATAGGAACTTTCTTTTGACATTTTCATTCTCTGAAGGTTTATTTTTTGTTCTGAACCCTTAAGGCCATCGAGAATGGAAGTTATGGAAGTTGCAGTATGAAGTACAACATCAGCACCATAGAAACAGAGGCAAAGATGCAAGAACTCGTGCAATTAGTGTTTAAAAAATCTTCTAATGACATCGATTCCAATATCAAGAATACTTTCCTCACAGTGGCTAAGAGTTTTTACTACCAAGCTTTCTGCGATGAAAGAACTATCAACCTCCACATTGTCAAAGTTCTCTTTGAGAAAGTCATCTAATTATTTGTCTGTCGTCTTCCATAAATGTCACCTTCAATGTGCATAGTTACCATGAACATAAACAAGATCATTGGTTGTGACTGGGTGAATCATTTTCCTTACAAAAGAGGTGGGAATAAATTGAAGTGACAACATATTGTATTAAGCAGTGTTTTGTACATTAATTTTAAATGAGAAGTTACATTTCCAACACCTCATATCAGAAATTACTGCTTCACCAAATGGTCAGTAGAAGTACAAGCAACATAAGAAGGCAGCATAAAATACAAAACATGACTACTTGATGGGTCAGTTTATTGAACCATCCATCTTCATCTATCATAAACCTGCGAAAAAGGAAAATAAATATGATGTGAGAATGAGCAAGTCAACTTCAAGAAAACATAACATCGAGTGCTCAAACAAGTCTGACGGGCAGTAATCTGTCCCAAGTAGGGCTTCGGCCTAAAAACTTATTAGTACCGTTATAAACTTGTGGTTATAATGGCAATGCAAGAAGGAATTAACTGTCTATCATTGACTGAACTTTTAACAAGAGATTTACAGCATGGTTTCCACAAATTCAGATAGTGGAAAGTTATAAGGTAACTGAGGTTAAGTTTGTTGTGAGATCTGTGTTGATCTTTGGTCTAATGGTTTCCTGGTAAAGGCAGGAAAAATGAAAGTGGGAGACAAGGCTGCCCCATGAACACGTCGCAAAGTGGGTGAGTTGGTCTTGATCATGAAATGGGCATCAACTAACATTCCCAGATTTTGCACTGATTTTCCAAAATTGTCAAATCAAGACCAAAAATCACTCAATATTTCTTTCACGTCCAGATTTTTTTATATTTAAAAAATAACATAAAAGAATAGAACCGCAGAGTTAATATTTTATTCACCATGCCTAGGATTAGTTCAAATATGGATTGAGAAATTGGATCAAATCAGTAGTAGAAGAGGGGGCAGAACAAGACCCGAAGGTTTTGTGCTGCAGATAATGCCGCATGAAGATGGGTGATGACAGAATGAAACCAACAACAATTGAGATAAGTTAAGCAGAAAAGCAATATCAAGCGCTTGATAGCGTGGGAGTAGTCTTCTCATGCTTCTCTCTCTTTCTCGGCCAACAAAGTATTCGAGCAGCAAATGACGTCTTTCTAGGAGAAAGAAAAGTTAAGATAGGGTCAATCGAACATATGGTGTGGTGTCGCATGGTAGCTATGAACATAAGCAGAGTGGCGTGTCAAATTGTGAAGACACTGAAGCGGGGGAAGGTGGGCTCAAGCCAGTAGTCGAATCAGAAATGAAATTCCCCTTCAAACAGCATGATTATAGCCACTGTACTTTCTTTATGTGTGGAGCATATAGCTGTGCCGTGCGCACATCAATGTGAGATCTCAATGCCCTCAGACTCGATCACAGAAGATGCGGCACTCGGACATATGGTTGATATCATGAGAGGCCGCCGCTGAAACGATGAAAAGATGACCAAAAGAACCGAAGAACCAGTTGCCCCAGTTAAAGAAATGGATTATCAGTGTAAAGGGAAATGTACATGAAAAGGAGAGGGGGGGATGATAAGATATACATCAGAGAATATTTTAATGTCAGAGTGTCAGTATAAACGTAATGGGACGATGTCCATAGTCATGATGCGCATGAGAGAGAGGGGGGGGGGGAGTGCAAAAGAAGATTTGACGTGTGGAGCATAACCAATTTCGGTAATGCGTACGGGGCCAAACCTCCATTGCGACTTTCTCATTATCCATGAAGACAAGGGCACGTGATTTCCCAGGTGCGTTATTTATCCTTTATCGTCTTTCAAGCTGGCTTTGGTGTTGCGATCATGCAGCAGGTAGGCCAGAAGCCCAGGACCCACCCCTGTCCATCCTTGGCCTTGCCACTTCTTCCTTATTGTTATCCACACAGATTATTCATCAGCCATGCTTTGCACTTTGCCAAGTGAACTACCACAACAGCCAATCATGCCAAGGCATAGGCTAGAAAAATAGGATCCATTTCTGGGGTGTCAACGCGTGTTTCAAATTTGAGGGGTACATATAAATCTCAAAAACACCAGTGAACTCGCGGCCTGTTTCATGAAAATTTTAGGGCACTTTTACTCTTTCCCCGAGAGAGGCGCTAAGAAACAAGGGTGAAAAATTCCTGCTGCACTTCCCAGCGGTTTACTTGCATCGTCCTTTTGAAGCCCCCACTTAAAAAAATTAAAAAAAAAATTAGTTGAAGGGACGTGGTGTGTTCTTTTGACCGTGTTTGATACCTCCAACAAACTCCTAGTCCACAAATATTGAGTTCGCAATTTTAACTTTTGAGTGATGACGTGCCTATGCCTATTGGCCGGAGAACCCACTGCCCGCCAAATCAAGTCATGCAACAGGCTGGTGCATATGGCAAAACCGGGAAATCACAAGGCCAGATATTTAGAGAGAATTTTAATAAAAACCCTTAAAGTTTACTTATTTAAATTTAAAACTCTTAAATTTTTAAAATTTTACTGTAATTCAAAGATATTAATTTGATATTAATTTTTTAAAAGAAGTGAAAAAATCATCTCTCATTTAAAATGATATCAGAACTTTTTCATTTTACTTATTTATCATCCTATTTCACCTTTTAATTTACTTAAAAAATGTTATTTATTATCTTATGTAACTTATTTTCATTTTAAATTTTTAAATCATCTTAAAATAACTTGTTGATTCTCACATTGTATATTATTTATTTACTTACAAACTATTGTTCATTGCCTTAATTCACTTATTCACTATCAAATTTTCATTTGATTTCATTTCAAAAATATGAATAAGTAAAGTGGAACAATTAACAATATTTCATAAATAAATAAACAAATGAAGTAAAATAATGAACAAGTGAAATAAAATAGTTCTGATATTAATTTAAATTAAGGATATTTTTATTATTTTTCTTAAAAATTAAACATCAAATTAGTTCTTTTAAATTAAAGTAAATTTTCAAAAATTTAAATAAGTTTAGTCCAAGAATCTTTATTAAAATTCTCCTGGATCTTTATTGTGATCTCAAGTCTGACCCTCCAGTTTAAGAAAAAAGTATATATAGTACTCCTTGCAATGCTGCTCCTTCTTTTTGGTTTTTTTTTTAGTATAGCAGGGAAGCCGAGGCTTGAAAGGGAAAGAAAAGAACTAGCCTAGCAGCTCCTAGCCTCCGAAAAAAGGAAGACACAATCAGGTGGGATTTCAGAACTTGCAATGCTTTTTAGAAATGGGAAACTTTTTTCTTGAAGTGGAATTAGCGATAAAATGTCCTACGAATAATTGAGTGAGTGGTTCAAATATAAGACGTATCCCACGATCCGAAGAGACCACCTTTCCAATGGGATCGATGACATGACAGTCTGAATCATGTTAAAGCCCAGTGAGTCTTCTAGGATCACCTTTCACCTGGGTTCTTCCACAGATCTCTGGATCGGTAGGTCGGACTATATTTCCTCCACACTTTTTAGGCCCATAGACCCAACTCTTAAAAACAAAACAGTCCGTAGCAAAATCCTTCACCTTTTCAACCTTATCCAACCCCTCCCCCAACCCGTTACCCATGTACATCCTTTTCAAGTTCACAACCTCATAGGATCTAACCCAATTGAAATAATAATAATAATAATCATAATAAATGAGTTAAAGTAATAATTAAAATGCCATTGAAATAGAGTCTTAATGTCCCAAATTATGTGAAAAGGAAGTAAAATAAATAAATTTTCACTTGTATTTTGATATAGTAGAAACAACGCAAGAATGTAAAAGAAAATTGTGCAGACGTCTATGATCTTAAAAATTAATAAGCTTGTTATTTTAATAAAAATAATAAACATTCATTTTTGTAATAAAATATCTATGCTTAACTCTTCTAGTTTAAAAAACACTTCAGGAATTATCAATAAGAACAAATTGCACCATCACGGAGTTATTCCGCCAAGGGAACACAGGATATTTCACCTATCATTGTAAAATTTTCATTTCCAACAAATCTGCAAAGAAATCTTCAGGATGGAAAGCCTTTACTAAGGAAGCCCATTCATGTCTAGCAAACATACCAAATTGATTTTTTGTGTCTCTCCCTCTCCTTTTGCTTATCCCAGCTTGCATGTGTACTAAACATAACATAATGCATCGATGATGCTGTTATCCTGTTCAGGCCATATAGGAAAACTTCCTAAAGAGCACATTTACGTCTTCAAGCTTCGAATGTGGTACAGGTTATAAATTCAGATCAGTTAGGCACATGTAAGATGGATAACCTACACACTTGCCTTTAATAAAAAAAAAAAAAAAAAAAGCGGCTCATGCAATTTAGTTCCTTAGAAAGCAGATTTAGTCATACTCTAATTCATCAGGAGTGATCGGCCGTTTAAGAGGGATGATAGACTTCTTTTCAGTATCACGCGATAATGCCTTCCTCATATCTAAAAACAAGGCACAAACCGATAATAAATAACAAGTAGCTTATTAAATGAGGGGAAAGACAAAAGCACAAGAGCGCGGAAGCACACCTAATCCATCTTCTTCCCCAGAATAGTAGCGTAGCACTCGCCGATATATCACATAGCCAAGCTGAGATTTTAATTAGGAAGGAAGGAAAATCATAGTTAGCACTGGTCCTTTGTCCTTAGTTACATTAAAAACTATAATGAAGTAGATCGTGCTCATATAAATATAATATTAATCCAAAACTATTTAGAAATAAATGAACATATCTGAACTAGCCAAAACTATTAAAGGACTAGACCAATCCAAAAGTAATATTTCTGCTATCTCAATTTACAAATCACACGGGGTCTTTGAGTAGTCTCCCAAATTACTAGAAGAATCAGAACCGGCAAATGATACAATGCAAAACTAGGATGGTGCCACGAAGTTTATGCATGCTTTTTAACAGATTAAAGGACAACAGTCGCATGTTAAAAAAAGTCTATGATGACATGTGATGAATAGCACCCTTACCTTTTCATACATCTTTATGGCAGGTGCATTTGATGCTCTCACAAAGAGATCCACAAAGTAAGCCTTGTCACTGGAAATATCACATTCTCACTTAAAACAAGTCCTTCATGCAAGGATAAGCAATTTGTAACAGTTGTACAAAAAACTTTACCATAAAAATGAAATTTTAAATCATTTTTTCATATAAATCCAAACTCTTGAGATAATAGGACA